ATATTTACACTCGGTGACAGGTGGGAATGTGTGTGAAGTGATCGGTGCGAAACCCAACTCCACAGAGCACACACACTTCCCCTCACACTTGGACAGAGATCTTCACACCACACACACAAATCTGTCTGGCACCCCCCTCCCTCTCCCCCTCTTCCAGGAGTCTTCTTCTCGTTCCCTCTCTTCTCTTCTCCCACGCCGCAGCATCCGTTTGCCTCCTTTCTCTTTCGTCTCAGTCTCAAAGCCTTCGTGCACGTTCAGGTGTTGTTGCTGCACAGAGTTCCTTCACACTTCCTGCTGGAAGTTAGGTTGAGGAAAAGTCTCCCAGATTGCAGAAACTGATGTTTGAGCCGTGTGAGAGTGCGTTTGCGTGTGTTCGATGACCGAGTCTGTCTAACGACCTCATCGTTGGCTCCTGCTGTGCTTTACTGCACAGAGACACTGTGGAGGTCTGCTCCTCTCTGATCACGCAGGAGGAACCTGGAAACGAGCAGGAACACTCCAAACACAAACGAACGAAAGGCTCTTTTGGCGACCTTTTGGAGTCCTCTTCTGTAAAACCTCTGGGATGTTCATGGTTAACCAGACTGGGCTGGATTTTCCTCTAACACTTGATCTGATGCTCATTCTAGGGGTGAACATGATGCTGCGTATGATTGCAGTGAAAGCAGCCTCAAAGCCAGAAGTGAAGATCACACAGAACGGGGAGACGCTGTCCATAAGGACGTCAACCACAGTCCGCACCACTGACATCACCTTCACCGTGGGGCAGGAGTTCACCGAGAGCACAGTGGATGGACGTCCCTGCACGGTAAACGAGACAGCGTTGCAGATTTGCTCACAAACACATACATGAACAGATGAAGTGCTGCTGGGAGTCTGTGCAAACAATGTGAATCTGTTTTATTTGGCATTTTCATCACAGCTTTATCCCTCCCGTGTCTCAGAAGGCCCATCGACTCCTTCACACTCATTGCCTCATCTTTCAACATCCCATCGTCTCCCCTCTTGGCCTTCCTCCCCCTGTCCCTCCCTCGTAACCCTCCCCATTTTCCCCCCTGGTGGCCCCAGCATGGCCGTCTCCAAAGCAAACACATGTAACCAGCCAGCACTTCGCTCGTCTAACGACGAATGCATCACAACTTATCACTCCTCAGCGATCACCCTGCTGCAGCCTTCTCGTGTTTCTCTATCAGACTCTCTTTTTAATTCCCGCAAATAATCCGTGCATTTATTCAGCTCTTCACCAAACCACTCATGCAACGCTTCTTGGTTCGTTGCACCTGCAGAGTTTTCCACGTTGGGAAACAGAGAGCAAAATCAGCTGTGAGCAGTCTCTGCAGAAAGGAGACGGACCCAAGACGTCCTGGACCCGAGAGATCACGTCTGACGGCAAACTGATTCTGGTAAATCACACAAATCATCAAATAAAGGATAAATAATAGAAATGTGCCTAAGGCTGCTGTAGCTCACACAACGTTTTACGCTAAAGCTAATCTGTAAATCTGACCTTTTGGTAACTTCTCCTCTACAGAGAGAAAAGTCGGCCTGTTTTTAGCTGCCTCAGCTTTAACATTTCCTACATCTGCTGCAACACTGAGGTTCATTTGGACATTTCTTTTGCAAAATCAGAATTAAAGAAAACATTTTTTAAAAGTTTGGGTTGGACTAGCTTTGATTAAAGGGGCATTATGGAAGTTTGACAGCCAAAACATGTATAGAAATAATAAATGTCTTCTTCATACATTCTCCTGCAATGCCCTGGTCCTGTAGAATGAGCCCTGGCATTTTTACTGTGATTGCCTGTTTTTCTGTAAAATCACAGAAAAAGAGAGATGCTCGGGTCGAGCAGGCTGCTTCATGCGCGTTCACGCTCAGGCGTCGCCCGTAGCATTTGCTATCCGTAGCTTTAGCAGCAGAGAGAGAGGCAGTGCCACTTTGTCGCTGTTCCTAACGCCTAGTGACAAAGCTAGCTACATTTCTGAGGACCCTTAGCTACTTTCTGTAGAACTTTCTTCTAGATATTTCCTGCTAATTAGCAACAAAATAGCCCTTTTCACTCCGAACCGTTCTTTGGTTTGACGTTGTTTCAGCTGTCATCAAGGATATAAAAGTTACAGATACTGTGAATGTTACTAGAGTGTAACTCACCTAGTAAGACATTGGACTCCGTGCAGAAGACCTGGGTTTGATTCTGGATGTGAACATAGTTTATTTAGAGTTTCTTTTTTACATTAATGGTATATTTTTTACAGTAAGATGCCCAAATTTTTATTTGAGACTTGCCGAACGGCATTGAATTCACAGATAAAAAAGATGTGGGTTCAACTTTCATTTTGGAACAATTTTTCAAGCAAGGGAAGGGAATGATCTGAGCATGCAGGAGGACTGACCCATCATAAACCTTTGTCGGCTGTGCTGAAGAGAAAGATACAGAACCACATTATTTAATTAATTAGCTGCGCGTTCTCCTGTCCTCTGTCCTCCGGGCCACACACACACACACACACACACACACACACACACACACACACACACACACACACACACACACACACACACACACACACACACACACACACACACACACACACACACACACAGGACTGTCTCAGCTGTTATTTTCGTTAAGGAGTGTGCACGTACAGCATGCGCACCTCGTGCACGAGCCTACTATTGAAGCTGCCGTTACGCTTTTGGCCTGAGGGGGCAATCGCGAGCATAAAAATTCAAAACTCCATAAAGCCCCTTTAACTTTTAACTTACATGAAACCCGTGGCGGTTTGGGGCAGGGCCACGGGGGCATTGGCCTGATTGGCCCCTGAAAGGCCCCTGATCTGTCCTTCGTCAGTCCTTTCCACTGGTCAAAATATAAGTGGATGCAATTCCGAGTCCAAACACGGACGTCACTAATGAGTCAAATAGGTATTTCGCCCACAAATATACTTTAAACTGAAACTGTTTGTGGTTTTAAAAAACTAATACAATGCTGACATGTCTCAAATTCTGTGTTTATGTTGTTTATGTACAGTGAAAATGTTTGTAAAATTACATTAAAGTGTTTCAGCGTGGGCTGGGTAATGAAATGTCTCTTCCTTACTAAAACTGGGGATTGGGCCCTCTATGGCGGCCCCATCAGAAAAATCCTAGCTCCGCCTCTGCATTAACTGGTCATTTCTAGTCTCGTACATGTTTAGCCTGGCAAGCCGTCCTATATATGTGGAAATATCGTCTGGCCACAGTCCACTGATGGCTCTCAGTCGTGGGGCGGGATCTACGGTTGTCTTTCATACCGTCTGTGCATGCTGTTGGTTCAAAAACAACGTGACGTACTCACCGTTATGGATGCCAGTCAACGAGGCCGTCCGCCATACTCCGTCAAAGAAGATGCAAATACATCCTTTCTGTAAACAAATGTCGTTACGTCTACCTGCTCTTGAATCAAAGAAAAGTCCAAAGCTGAAGCCGTTTGAAACGAGCCGTCGCCATCTTTGTTTTTTCAGTAACATCCCGCCCACCAACAGAGTCCTGTGATTGGCCCACCTATTTGATAGAGCGCTGTGATTGGCCCATTACCAATGTCATTCAACATGGCAGTCTGCCGTACATCGTGGACGAAACAGCGAAGAAGACAAAAATAAATGCATTGTGATTGGCCAGCCACAACACTGGCCGGGGCTGCGGAGGGTCCAGTGGAGATTACATCTAGATCCTAGGCTCATACATGTTCCCATTAAACCTCCATCTTTTGTGTGTTTTTATTTTCAGACTATGAGGGCGGATGATGTCGTGTGCACCAGAGTCTATGAGCGACAATGAACAAGAGCACTTCTCACTTTTTGTCCATCCAGCTCCTTCTCAGCATCACCGTGTCTGTCACCAGTCCTCACTGAACTGGGATGTCAAAGCCTCCACGTTTACTCCACTTACCCCGTTAGCTTAACCGTGTTGTGATGATTGTATTTAGCACGTCACATCTGCGTCATAATCTCTGGAAACGCGACCAGCTCTGGTTTTAGACTTCTAGTTAGTGTGTGTGTGTGTGTGCGTGTGTGTGTGTGTGTGTGTGTGTGTGTGTGTGTGTGGAAACCAACTTTTGAGCTCTTCCAGTGTTAACACATCTCTGTTCCTGTTGCTCTCCACCTTTTCTGATCTCATCACAACGTTTTATATTTATTACGTCACCAGATTTGCATTTTAAATTTGTGTCTCTTTTATAAAAAACGTGATTAATAGTAAAACAACTCTTTCTACTGGGGAAAACAATAAACCACCTCATTAACTCACCTTTGACATCAGCTCTTGGCTCCCCTGGACCTGAAGTGGTTAGGAGCACCAAGCAGGAAGTGGTGCTCCAGTGTTTTATGGTTTGTGAGTGTCGCTGCAGAGTGTGTGCTGCATTAAACGACTCCATCTTATTTTCGTCTTTCTGTCAGCTGGTTGCAACTAAAATAACTTACGGTATATGTCCCTTCCCTTTTAAGCCTTCTCACCTCTCTAAAGTTGATCTGATCATAACTTCCTGATTAAAAAGCACTGTGCAAAAGTTTTAACAACTATTTTTGATTATTTTGTTCCAAAAGTCTGTCTTCTGAGCGTTTAAACTCGTGTTTATTGATAAACTGAAGGTTTCCCGTGGACTTGGGTTGCTGTTTCAGGAATTTTCTTCTTCTAACGTAGCATTTATGTTGTGAAATGAAAAGGAAAATGGACGAATGTTTACAACTTATCTACAGTATCTGAAAGCCGTGCCTTTAAAATGTGGACAGAAAAATCAAAGAAGATCTGAGAGATGCATTAAAGGGACATTATGGAAGTGTGACAGCCAAAACATGTATAGAAATAATAAATGTCTTCTTCATACATTCTCCTGCAATGCCCTGGTCCTGTAGAATGAGCCCTGGCATTTTTACTGTGATTGCCTGTTTTTCTGTAAAATCACAGAAAAAGAGAGATGCTCGGGTCGAGCAGGCTGCTTCATGCGCGTTCACGCTCAGGCATCGCCCGTAGCATTTGCTATCCGTAGCTTTAGCAGCAGAGAGAGAGGCAGTGCCACTTTGTCGCTGTTCCTAACGCCTAGAAGAAGAAGAAAATATCATTTCTATAGCGCCTCTCAAGATAAAAATCACGAGGCGCTTCACAAAAACAAAAAAAAAATGTTAAAATATAGAAAAACATTTAGAAAATGTTTAAAAATATATTTAAAATGAGCAAAAATAGGCAAATGCGGGTTAAAAGAAAAAATGTTAAAGAGAGAGAGAGTGAATAGGAAAGAGGGAAATCAGTGGATCCTGAGGAAGGTGGAATAGGTGGGGAGAGCAGAATAAAGAGAGAGAGGTGAAGAAGGTCATACAAAAGCCAGCTTGAACAAGTGAGTCTTCAGCTGCTTTTTAAAGGAGACCACTGAGTCCACTGATCTCAGGCTCAGGGGGAGAGAGGTCCAGAGTCTGGGGGCCACAGCAGTAGATGATCTGTCACCTTTGACCTTTAGCCTGGTGCTGCACAACCAGTAGGCTTTGGTCACTGGACCTCAGGGACCTGCTGGAGGTGTAGGGACTAAGAAGATCACCAATGTAAGATGGTGCTTGTCCATGTAAGGCCCTATAGACCAGAACCAGGATCTTGAGATGAACCCTGAAGTTGACTGGCAGCCAGTGAAGCTGGAGGAGAAGCGGGGTGATGTGGGTGTGTTTGGAGGACTTGGTCAGAAGCCGAGCACAGGCGTTCTGAACCACCTGTAGACGGTTCAGGGAGGTTCTGCTCAGACACGTGAAAAGAGAGTTACAGTAGTCTAAGCGTGAGGAGATGAAGGTGTGGAGAACTGTCTCAAGTTCAGAGCGGGACAGAATGGGACTCAGCTTAGCAACGTTCCTGAGATGGAAGAAGGAAGAGCGAACAAGAGAACTGACATGAGAATCCAGGGTGAGAGCTGGGTCAAAGGTCACACCAAGATCCCTGACATAAGGTTTGGTGTGAGAAGCAAGCTGACCAAGAGAGTCTCTGACTTTGGGAACCAGCTTGTCTGGGGCACAGATGAGGATCTCAGTCTTATCTTCATTCAGCTGAAGAAAGCTCCCACCATCCAGGTTTTGATAGAGTCTAAGCAGGTGTGTAACCGCTGCAGTTTAGACATCTCATGGGGCTTAAAGGAGATGTACAGTTGGATGTCATCTGCATAAAGATGGTAGGAGATTCCTTTGAAGGAGCTCAGGATGTGCTGAAGAGGAAGCAGATAGAGGAGGAAGAGCAGAGGCCCCAGCACAGAACCTTGTGGGACACCATGGGTAAGGGAGGTGGTGGAGGACCTAAACATGGAGACGGCCACAGAAAAGGAGCACTCAGAGAGATAAGAGGAGAACCACTCCAGAGCAGATCCTGATAGGCCTACCCAGTCTCTCAGCATCTCCAGTAGCAGATGATGGTCAACAGTGTCAAAGGCTGCAGTCAGGTCCAGCAGGACCAGAACAGAACAGTCCCCTGCATCACTGTGGGTCAGAAGGTCATTAGAGACCCTAAGAAGAGCTGTTTCAGTAGAATGAGCTCTACGGAAACCTGACTGGAAGCTATCATAGATGTTATGTTCATCAAGAGCAGCTGTGAGTTGTTTAGCCACAACCTTTTCCAAGATCTTGGAGATGAACAGAAGTTTAGAGATGGGTCTGAAGCTGCTATGGAGAGAGGGGTCGAGACTCGGTTTTTTAAGAAGCGGGTGGATTACAGCGTTCTTAAAGTAAGCAGGGACCTGACCAGAGACCAGAGAAGCATTAATTATAGAGAGCACGCTGGGACCGATGGACTGAAAAGCACTTTTAAACAAAGATGAGGGTAAGATGTGGAGGGGGCATGCAGAGGTCTTCATAGAGCTCCGGACCCCACGTGACTCTCAGTTAGTAGACGCCATATTGGCAGGTAAAAAAAGCTAAACAAACACGGATCGTAAACATGAATGTGAATGGGATCGGCTTGGATTTTTCTTCGTCGGAGTTTACTTCACACTTTAAAACCGAAGAAATCGTTTTATATAGTCAGAAATTAAATAGACTAAACATCTCCGACCCTTACCGTGCCCCTGAGATACTTTTTAAAAACGCCAGAAGCTGTCGGAGCGGACCTCTTACCGGACCTGACCGGGGAACCCCTTGGGATTTCCCCGGAGGAGCTGGCCCAAGTGGCTGGGGAGAGGGAAGTCTGGGCCTCTCGACTTAAGCTACTGCCCCCGTGACCCGACTCCGGATAAGCGGATGAAAATGGATGGATGGATGGACAAATAACAGATTTACATGTAAGTAGTTTAAACAAAGTGCTGTGCTGTTTGAATGTATAAACTGAACGCCAAGAGAAATCACTAGTTTGATTTTTGTTCCGTGAATAAAATAAATATGTCAGGCAGGAGCGTCTCAGGATCTGTCTGAGATCTGTCTCGGTGAGACCGATAATAGCAATCCAAAGTGCTTTTTATGTGTGATCTGACAATTGATCAACCATTGCTTAAACATTAAATACAGCTTAGCCGGTTAATTGCTGTGATCATAAAACACGTAAACGGCAGCACGCAGAAATCACGAGGCAACGTTTTACGTGATGTTTACTTGTTGCTATGAGTAATAAGACAGAAAAAGCCACGCCAAAATAAGTTTAGGAAGCCCACTAAGAATCGTAATGAAAGCATTTAAAATAAACACCATACACAGTTGAGGAAACGTTGGTTTAAGTACCTGATATGAAGCGGTCGCTGCATAAGCGAAAACCTTTACTCTCGGGATCCCACAGCTTCATTTCAGCCCGGTCACTAGCGCGTTTTATTACAATGATCCAACGTTTGTGGCGCTCCGGATCTTGGGGAATCCTGTAGATGGCTCATTCCTTATGTCGTCCGTGTCTGTTCTGCATCCTGGGGCACAACAGGAATCTACCATATTTCCCGTTTGATTGAGTTTTCTGACAATAACAAATAGTCCAGCTGCCGGCTTCTACCTGCCAATATGGCGCACTTTCGATTTGAACTGTTGCATGCCGGGAGAAGTGACGTCAACTCCCGGCGCTCCATAGAGTTAACTAGTTTGGTTAACTCAGGCAAAGAAACAGGAGCAAAGCTATCTAGGATGATGGGCCTGGTTGGAGTCGGGAGAGGCGGCGATAAGGCTGAAGGAGAGATGCTAGATCTAACCTTATTGACTTTGTCCACAAAGAAAGACAGAAAGTTCTCACAGTCTGCAACAGAGTGGATGGAGGCTGTAGGAGAGGCAGGAGAGACGATGCTGCTGATGGTGTTAAACAGCACCTTGGGGTTCCCTTTGCTCTGGGACACCAGGTTGGAGAAATAGGAAACCCTCGCGTCTCTGACTGCAGAGTTAAAGGATGTCAGAAGATCCTTTAGGTGCAGCAGATGGACGTGGAGATGGGTTTTCTTCCACAAACGCTCAATTTTTCTGCATTGGCGCTTCAGGCTGCGAAGGCTGTCATTAAACCAGGGAGTAGGGTTCACTGTAGGAACTGATCTGGTTCTGACAGGACAGATGTTGTCCAGAATGGAGAGGCAGTGCTCGTTAAACTGAGAAGTAGAGGTATCTGGGTCGTTATCAGAAGAACAGGGTGGACCAAAAGCAGCAGAAAAATTGCTAGCTGTGCTCTCATTAAGAAAACGAGAACTAACCAGACAGCAAGCAGGAGGTAGGGACGCAGAAACTGACAAGTTAAAGAAAATGCAATGGTGATCTGAAATATAAACGTCCTCAGGACAAATACTGTCGGCTGTGCTGAAGAGAAAGGTACAGAACCAAATTATTTAATTAATTAGCTGTGTGTTCTCCTGTCCTCTGTCCTCCGGGCCACACACACACACACACACACACACACACACACACACACACACACACACACACACACACACACACACACACACACACACACACACACACACACACACACACACACACACACACACACACACACACGGGACTGTCTCAGCTGTTATTTTCGTTAAGGAGTGTGCACGTACAGCATGTGCGCCTCGTGCACGAGCCTACTATTGAAGCTGCCGTTACACCTTTGGCCTGAGGGGGCAATCACGAGCATACAAATTCAAAACTCTGTAAAGTCCCTTTAAGGTGTGGGACACTCATTTAACCAGTACATGCAGGAATGAGTGCCTTGTCAGTCATACTTTGGGGAAACAAAAACATCGGAGCACAAGATTACAGCCAAGCTTCAGATGGCAGTATTTCTGATTCTGAGGAGTCTTATTTCCTGATATTCAAACATCTCACTTCTGATTGGCTAACAGCAACACGACTACCGCTGACTCTGTCTACTCTGCAATGTTGATGTTTTTTCTCCACGAATAACACAAGCCTGGAGGAGTTCTGTTGTGTGGTGGAATTGCTAATGCTAATGGTTAGCTTCTACTAGCTGAGACGCTCTCTGCTGTTTCCTGAACGCTAAACCAACAACAGCCTTCCCCGTCGTGAGTCCAGACGCGTGAGTCCATGAATGTTGAGTGTCAGTGTGACGTAGATCTGTCAGGATGTTCTAATCCTAGAGTTTCGCCACCTGTTTTCTATCAGAAGCTACCGCAGGAGATAGGTGTAGGAGACTATTTTCATGTTCAGCCTGCTTGAAACACTCAGAGTGACCTGTTAGA